AAGTATGTTTTATCCGATTACTCGATTAATCGATGGAATATTCGATAGAATACTCGATTACCAAAATATTCGATAGCTGCAGCCCTAGTTAAAATATGGATATATATTGAAATAATGAAATTAAATTGATAGTATAAACGTTCCATGACCAGTCAAATATTGGCTAAACTACTAGTTGAGAGGAGAGTCCTACTTGACCCACAGTACTGAATTTGAGACTTTCACATAAGTTAACTTTTCAAAAAAACTAGCTAATTTTAAGATCAAGTCAAGCCAATCGACAGCTCTCTTGGTGACAGTGACAGTGTTGGAATCTCTGACTGCACCCAAAGAGAGGACAGAGAGAGAGGAGTGTGCACTTGTCATTTTGCACACTTGTAGAGTGCCAGTATAACGGCTCACACACAGAAGAACAAGGCAGTGGTATAACAGAATTGCCCGATAATAAAAAAATAATAAAGAGAAACAAAATTTCATCTGCTTTCATGCTGCAGTCTGTCAGTAAGTCAACAAGTAATGCCATCAACAAACAGCAGGCATCATGTATGTATCCTGCATCAACCTATCAAAATGTAGCTATTGAATTAAAAAATATATTTATCACATTGATCTACAATTGAATCTGCTGTATCACAATATGGCAAATACAATTAAAGCCATTTATAAATTAACCTTTCAGTTTATTAGTGCACAAATGATTATTTTGAATTGTATGACTACTGTTAAATGATGGTGGGTTGTATTGTTTTGTGTCATCAAGAGTTGTATCACCCTTAACAGTTGAAAGAGACTTTGTGCCTTGAGGACGTTGCCTTTTAAGACCTCTTATTTTAAAAAAGGTCCAATGTGTAACATTTAGGATCTATTATCAGAAATGGAATATACTAGTCATAGACATGTGTTCATTAGTGTAAATCACCTTAAAATAAGACTTGTGTTTTAGTTACCCTAGAATGAACTGTTTTTATCTGCAGAAAAGTCATGTTCTATGCAGTGTGGCACGTAGTGTAAAAGCACTTTGAGAGGTTGGAAGACTAGAAAGGCTGTGGCTCAGAGGAAGAGCGGGTCGTCCACTAATTGGAAGCTTGGTGGTTCCTTCTGCCACATGGCGAAGTATCCTTGAGCAAGACACTTAACCCCGAATTGCTCCCATTGTAAATGCGTTAGTTTCTGTTTCATGGCCTTTGCCATCCCTGAGTGAATGTGTGTGAATGGCACGAAGTGTAAAAATGCTTTGAGGAGTCGGAAGACTAGAAAGGCGCTATACAAGTATTTATTTATTTATTTTATTTGTAT